TATATACACATATATATATATACATATATATATATATACATATATATATATATATATATATATATATATATATTATGAATATGAATATGAAATGAATGCATATATATATAGATATTATATCGATATATATAGATAGTACCTTGTGCGCTCGTCAGAATGGGACATTCACTCAATACTTGTCTTAAACCTACTTGTTCTGTGACAGGATATGTACCAGGCACAAACAAACATACCTATTCCCCGTTGTTACGATTGTTCATGTACAGCACCCATTCTGAACATATCGCACGTTTGTGAAACTACCGAGATTCAGTCGATCTTCGAGAATACTTCACTTGCAAGACTACCACTGAATTGGGATCACCCTCGCTTTGTAGATGTAAATTTACCATTTATTTGTTTAAACTACTCTCTCTTATACTAGTAGATGTAAGTTTGTCATTTAATTGTGACCACTATCACTTTGTAAATAGAGGTCTACTATCGATTTTGATAAGTACTTTTTAAAGGTGATATACCAATTCTTTAAAGTAGTTTAAGGCAACGGCCGATTTTGGAAAGTAAACCAAGGTAAAGGCTGATTTTGGAAAGTAGTTTAAGGTAAAGGCCGGTTTCGGAAAGTAATTTAAGGCAAAGGGTACGGCCCTGTCGCAAGGAGTGAAGTCGTGGCTCAAGCATGAGGGCCATTTGTTGTGGCTCATAACACCATATGTAGCAACAGGCTCGTCTAAGCAAGCCATCGATCTCTCAGGAAGACCAACACACTTAACACAGATGCCCCCCTCTTTCTGTACAGGGCTTGAGTAGTAGGTCGGTGTTCACGGTCACACGTCCCTTCGTAGACGGTTGCACCAGCCCAAGCTCCCAAGCGTGTAACACAGTCAGATGTTAATCTCAAATTGATGCGGCTGTAACAACTGGTCCTCTTATCTATAGCGGACTGCTCTAAGACATAGCACCCTTTTCTCGTGCACACACAACTGAAACTAAACCAAAACTCGTAACCATACCCGACCCTCACACGTCTACCTACAGAGCCCTATATAGCAGCAGTGCGTCTCAGCACTCGCCACATAATCGGATCTCCCTGACTTCTCCCACTGTGGCCCATTGTATAACGCGTGCAGTCTATGCTTATCAAGGCCGACCACACAGTGCATACCGCATTCTGGGCGTACATAAAGTACAGGACTGTCAAATGTCTCAATTTGCGTCTTAGAATATGCCCACCTTGGGTTCGATCTTCCAATCAGACCTGAGTCGATTCATCGTTGTATCCTCTCCAAGTATACGCATGCATACTCCCCCCCCCCCACGCTATCGCCACTTGCCTATTCCCAAGTGATCACACTCACCCGTATGGTCAGCCTGGCCAATACACGTATCGACCCGCACATTGGGGCATGCCGGGGGCAATTAGTACCGAACTACCATACACCTCAATTTTCTTGCGCATTCTGCTCCAAGCTGAGGTACAGACCTATGTGGGTCTCCGCAGCGGCATCACCCACTATCGAACATCGCCTAATCGGTTCTAGTCGGTTCTTCCTACAGCCGAGAAGATATACCCGCTTCCGTTCGGCTGTAATGCCATATAATGCTACCTCAGGGATTGTCGCGAGATGTGGTTCGAAGTATGCGCCGAAACCAGGGTAGCGTTCACCCATGCACGCAGCTGCATTGTTTACTTCGTCTACGTTCACACTAATGGCCACGCCGGATAGACGCACGTGGTGGTAGGGGAACGACAGCACCAGGCCTCGCATGTCGGTGATGGAATCGTACACTGGAAACCCGACACCGGAATCCGACCATACGACAGACACCGGGGAGTCGGTCGCACTCTCACGCGTTATGTAGGCTACCAGACAGCCCGGCACTCGGTTCAAACCACTGAGTATGCCTGGAGAGAGCTCGAACGATGCGTCTGTGTAGTCTGGTACAACAGGGTCTTTGTAGCACTCACCCAGGCGTGTTAAGAGACCGTCCATGAAGTAGAACCGAGCCTCAGACCACACAAGATACCGGAAGGTGGGGTCGGCAGGGGCTGTATAGGCTTCGGGATGTCGCATATACTTCAGGATGTCCGCGAAGGCGTCTGCGTCTCTGTCCAGGAAGTACACCGCGTCGTCCGTATCTGTACTTCCCGCTGTCTTGGTGTGTCCTGTACTGTTTAAGCCGTCACCTTCACTGGTACCAGTTGTATATACTACACCACTAGTACGAGATTCCTCACCTTTCTCATTTGTTTGCATACGATCTTCTGAGGCAAGCTCGGTATCGACTAAGCGCTCGGACATTTCTGTGGGGAATATACTCATAGCGAGCGTAGATTTGGGAAACTTGCGTAGGGTCTTCAGTGAGGTTTTGAACACCCGCCCTGCCACATCGAATCGGATGGTTTTGCCCATTGTCGCAATGCAGTGGTTACATGCTGGCGATCGTGATGATAGTACCCTAGTGTGTATTTGCTGAAATGGTCGTATAGTTGACTGCACTCCTTGGTAATTATTTTCACGGGTGTGAACGTTCCAGTCGGTACATTTGAAGCAATTTGGATAAGAAGGATCACTTTATGCGACGGTACGTGTTAGGTACTGGGTGTAGGTATGCGGCCGTGCGCTTTCAGAATAGTAGAAGGGGCGTATACACCGTTCAGTGGTGGCCGCGACCAAATGTGGTAAAACTTACTATATTACTCTGAACGTGTAATTTTTAAGTAGTATCTATTTATATTATGTGCTGGATCGCCTACTCTCTGACTTTCTCGAAGAGACTCGAAAGTCGAAAGTCGAAAGTCGAACATTGTTTCCCAAAAAACCATTGTGTTACACAATTATAATTTATATTTTTATATATTTATAATTTATATTTTTATACATTTATAATCTATATTTTTATATATTTATAATTTATATTTTTATATATTTATAATCTATATTTTTTTATATTTATAATTTATATTTCTATATATTTATAATCTATATTTATATATATTTATAATCTATATTTTTATATATTTATAATTTATATTTTTATATATTTATAGTTTATATTTTTATATATTTATAATTTATATTTTTATATATTTATAATATATATTTTTATATATTTATAATCTATATTTTATATATTTATAATTTATATTTTATATATTTATAATTTATATTTTTATATATTTATAATTTTATAATTTTTTATATTTATATAACTGTATATCTATATATCTATATATTTACATATTTATATTTTTATATATTTATAATTTATATTTTATATATTATAATTATATTTTATATATTATAATTTATAAT